TGCATAGTTACTGCTTTTTGGGGCAAACAGAAATTGTGAACCTGAAAACGATGCAAACGATGCCAAATCTCCCACGTAAGTAAGAGCTCGGTTGTAGATGTTATTGATGAGGCCCTTTTTAACTTGGGTTATCTTAAAAATATAATGCGAGTGAAATTTTGCTCAAGGCGCATCGCTTACTTTTTTTGTCCAATTATGGCTACAAGAGCAGACTCTTCCTCTCAAGGCGAGAAACAAGTCGAGAGAGAATTTACTCAACTTTTTACAAAGAACGCAAATTGCTCCAAATTCAATTCCGAACTAATAATTTCTTTCCAATAACGTAGGCGCATTTGGATTCAAGTGCACACAGTCCAGTATGATCTTAGTTGTTTTACTGAATAACTGACAAGTAGTCGTCATATGAAGCTAATTGGTGAAATATTGTCCATCTAATAAAGGCCAGATGATTTTAATGTGATATTGACTTAGCAGCAATCCCTCATCTGTGAAGAGAGTCAACATTTCCAACAGCAGGTTTAAGGAGAACTCGGATCTGCAGCTTTGCATTATTTTTGACACGTTAAGCGACACTCCCACACTGACGGCGTCATGCTGAAACCTGCTGAAACATAACAGATTTCTGGGGGTTTTAGCCAAATGAAGTTATTTTCTCCAGAAGTAAATCTTTTGAGACATCAATCACCACATTTTCGTCAAAAAATGGCGCCACATTAAAAATGAGGATGAAGGTTTTGAAGAGAGTCTTCAAGGACAGAAAACACAATCGGTCCTCAGGAACTAGTGGACACGCCTACTGGACGAAAGAGATAACTTTAACTTAAAATGATTCATGATTTATCTTTAAGGTATTATTTGTTGCATTTATTGGGCTTAATATAAAGTCATGAATCTGGCACATTAGCCATACAAATGAGCATTTCCTTCCTAATATACAATATTTAAAGAAGAAATAAAATACTCTGCTTTTTGGTATTTATTACTAAATATAAACCGTCTGATAATTATTAAGATGTGATCATAGCTAACTCCTTCTATGCACAGCACATATATATGGTGTGTGACAGGTGTTTCCCCAACAAACTGGTTCTCCAAACATCATTAGCACATACGTGTCTTACGTTGGTCAAATATCGTGAACAAATAGCTGCAGAGGACATCCTATTTTTCAAAGGTAGAAATACAAGCAACATTTTTGACCACCCTTGCACTGTGCTGTTCAGGACAGCAATAAAAAGTAGCGTCACTGAAACCAAATATGTACAGTTAGGGCCAGAAATATTTGGACAGTAACATTTTAGGAGCTCAAAAGTAATTGGACATATAAACATAACCCAAACAAAAAAGTTTTTTCTCAATATTTTGTTGCGAATCCTTTGGAGGCAATCACTGCCTTAAGTCTGGAACCCATGGACATCACCAAACGCTGGGTTTCCTCCTTCTTAATGCTTTGCCAGGCCTTTACAGCCGCAGCCTTCAGGTCTTGCTTGTTAGTGGGTCTTTCCGTCTGAAGTCTGGATTTGAGCAAGTGAAATGCATGCTCAATTGGGTTAAGATCTGGTGATTGACTTGGCCATTGCAGAATATTCCACCTTTTTGCTCTCATGAACTCCTGGGTAGCTTTGGCTGTATGCTTGGGGTCATTATCCATCTGTACTGTGAAGCGCCGTCCGATCAACTTTGCAGCATTTGGCTGAATCTGGGCTGACAGTATATCCCAGTACACTTCAGAATTCAGCCGGCTACTCTTGTCTGCTGTTATGTCATCAATAAACACAAGTGACCCAGTGCCATTGAAAGCCATGCATGCCATGCCATCACGTTGCCTCCACCATGTTTTACAGAGGATGTGGTGTGCCTTGGATCATGTGCCGTTCCCTTTCTTCTCCAAACTTTTTTCTTCCCATCATTCTGGTACAGGTTGATCTTTGTCTCATCTGTCCATAGAATACTTTTCCAGAACTGGGCTGGCTTCTTGAGGTGTTTTTGGGCAAATTTAACTCTGGCCTGTCTATTTTTGGAATTGATGAATGGTTTGCATCTACATGTGAACCCTTTGTATTTGCTTTCATGGAGTCTTCTCTTTACTGTTGACTTAGAGACAGATACACCTACTTCCCTGAGAGTGTTCTGGACCTCAGTTGATGTTGTGAACGGGTTCTTCTTCACCAAAGAAAGTATGCGGCGATCATCCACCACTGTTGTCTTCCGTGGACGCCGCCTTTTTGAGTTCCCAAGCTCACCAGTCAATTCCTTTTTCCTCAGAATGTACCCGACTGTTGATTTTGCTACTCCAAGCATGTCTGCTATCTCTCTGATGGATTTTTTCCTTTTTTTCAGCCTCAGGATGTTCTGCTTCACGTCAATTGAGAGCTCCTTTGACCGCATGTTGTCTGGTCACAGCAACAGCTTCCAAATGCAAAACCACACACCTGGAAACAACCCCAGACCTTTTAACTACTTACTTGATTACAGGTTAACGAGGGAAAGGCCTTTTGAGTTACTTGCAGCCTTTGGAGTCCATTGTCCAATTACCTTTGGTCCCTTGAAAAAGAGGAGGCTCTGCATTACAGAGCTATGATTCCTAAACCCTTTCTCCGATTTGGATGTGGAAACTCTCATATTGCAGCTGGGAGTGTGCACTTTCAGCCCATATTATATATAAATTGTATTTCTGAACATATTTTTGTCAACAGCTAAAATAACAAAACCTGTGTCACTGTCCAAATATTTCTGGCCCTAACTGTATGTGTTGTTCCTTTTTTAATGTGCCAGGTACAATGTAGAGCAGCTCAGTGTTACAAGTACTGAAGAATGTAGTTGTTTTCATCACCATTTTGGTAATTGTTGTGGCTGTCACCTACTCTACCACTTTGTCTAGAGTCTACCTCCAGCAATCATCAAGTGGAAGGTAAGGTTCCACATTTAGAAAGACCAATTAACTAAACTGCATGTTACTGGACTGTGAGAAGAAGCCAGACTACCTGGAGAGAACCTACTCATGAGTAACGAGAACATGCAAATGTCATGCAGAAAGATGCTGTTGGTACATTCAACACTTCCAGCAGCTGCTCCATTGTTCAAACTGCAATAAATGATATTCTGGAGAAGTTTGTAAAGGGGAACCAAATATGTATGTGTTGTTCCTTTTTTAAGGCTGTAAAAAATAAAGCAGTACAGCAGTTTTTCTCTTTGCTACTAATTATTTACAACATTATGTAGAGTTTATGTACTTTCAAACCTCTCTGAGTTGCCTTACTTTACAAGACAAGTTTATCCAGTGAGACCACTCTTTAAAAATAACTTCTTCTTCTTTTTCTTCTTCTTCTTCTTCTTCAGAAAGACAACAAAAGATGTTGTGTGTAAAGGTGTTTTGGCTAAAGTAAAAAGAAATAGTATAATTCTTGCAGCATTTGCTAGATACTTACAGACTATCATGCAATGGTGAATTGCAGGATCCAAATGCAAAGAGGAGGCAAGGATGGCAAAACTGAAATAGCTCATGTTAAAAGAAGACTTACAAAAACTGACGTCCAAAGATAAATCCAAGGAAACCAAAAGGAAGCAGGGTGGGGATATGGGAGGATCTGATCGAGAGATATTTATAGTGAACGAGGAGCAGGGGCTTGAAACTGGAGTTCAGCTGAGTTACTGGGAAAAAGGCCTGTCAAAATACACATTGAATGTGGGAAACAAGTTGAATAATCTAAATACTCAGATGCAGATGTATCCCTGACGCTCTCCATCGCTTCACTCATAAGATCCAAACCCAAAGAGGGAAAAGCTGCCATGGGAGTTCAGATGTAACAGTTCCCTTTGCAGCACTGCACAGTTTCACATGACCAGCTCTAGATTTTCCCACCATGCTTTGGTGTCTGACGAGAGATTAACACTCATTCCAAAACAACTGCATGTGGCCATATTGACTACGCACACAACCCGTTGAATTCTCGCTTTGTGGTCGGGCGTTAATGAACTATTTTTTAAAGTTATTATTTGTAGCAGAATCAACATTTGTTCGCGTCATCAGCTGTGAAAGCTGTTGTTAACGTGGGTAAGAACAGAGTCCTGGTTTGGAGGACTGATGTTATGAATGATAACTTTTTCGTAAGTACTGTCTGTCATTGCTGGAATGATACTATTCAAATCCTCCCACACTGACTCAGCAGATGACTGAAGAGGCGCCTCAGAGTAGTTTCAGTGCAAAGCCCTGAGTCAAGTATAGAACGAGACGAGTCGAGAGCTTACAGACCCTTCTCTGAGTCTGTATCTCTGAGAGAGACGCAAATTTAAACAATTCTTCTGCAAGGTGCATGATGAGACTAACGGCAATGCAGCTTCTTTTGCACAGCACTAATTACTCACAGAGCAATTTAAAGTTTACAGAAGAGTTGAAGAATTTCATCAAGATATTTGCTTCCCATACAATAAGTAGTTGAATTCAAACTTAAATTAAGTAGTATATCAATACTTATAATAATACAGTATTAATTTTACTGTGCAGACGGTTTGGAGCTGACGTAAGAGTGCAAAGGTCTTCTCACGTTTCAATACAGTTGATTTATAACCCACAACACTTCTGCTCTACAAAATGTGTGTGTGACTAAGCAAGATTCTTTCTGCATGCATGGGTTTTTTTTTTTGCAAGTGTGCGTATGCCATGAGGGTGAGGCTGGCTAGTTAACAGTTACGGTAAATTGACACACAAGCTCGGTCTGCTGCTGGTAAGTGATGTATATGGGTCATGTTTGAGGTTAGAGGATCAGCATGTTGAGTTTACACATTAGTTCTGCATGTATTTAATCTGCAGGATGTGAAAACGTATGTATTTCTTCGTTACTCATTCCAACGACATGACAACAGTTTTACCAGCCTCGTGAATAACGTGAAGCGAGGAACTTTTTTTTTTTTTTTTAACAATCTTTATTTCTTTAAAAAGTAGAAAGTGCAATAAATATAAAAATAAATATAAAATGTTTTTTTTATCTATTACAGAGAGTAATACATACTCTAATGACAATATAGTTATTCTATCTTTGAGTATGACAGAACATTGTTCTTGAACACAAACTTGTCCTTGGGACAAACAACTGTTGTCTCTGAAGAACAGACAACACTTCAGCAGATTTATAGTTACATTCATAGTTCTGGACACGATGCATGTTAGTCTCAAACTCAAAGATTGTCCATTTTGTTTCCCAAAACACGCACAGTAATGATAATCTTCGTTAAAGTCAGCTGGTCTTCATTGGGAGTTTCTCCTCCGTTGAGACGCCAGGTATGTCTCGATGTAGTTGAACAGCAGATCCAGCTCCCCCATGGCCTTGAACACACCTTTACTCTCCATCTGCAAGTAAATGCACACCTTCATTATCACACTGGAACAACCGATGCAGAAGGCAATTCTTGGTCTGTCGCAATATGCAATAATGTGAGCACTCTCCAAACACTCACCTCAGTATACGTTGAATTTAGGCTTCTGATGTCAAATGGCTTCTTGCATTTGAAGACTTTTCTCTGAAAACGAGAGGGAGAAGATGTTAGAACTTGGCCGTCCTACACAACAATGAGAAAAGCTTCATAAGCAGTAACTATCCGCCGCAAGAAAGCTAAAAAAGGAGAAACACTAACCCCAACCCCCCTTCCACTCTCTGTGCTTCTGCAATCATTGACTAAGAGATTGTGAGAGATTGCTAAGATTATGGCCAAATCCTATGAGCCATGGCTGAGCTCTTCCTCTCTCACAGCCACAAAGTGCGTGGACAAATTATTACATGTGCCAGTGGAAATTATTAAATGTGGTTTTTAACGGTCTGTCATAAATAGTTACATTCCAAAAAGCTACAACAAACCTGCCAATATAGGGCAATTTTTTGGTAACGTAAACATGACACATACAGTATCGACCACAGACGAGCTTCAGAGTTTTAAAGCGGGGGCATGGCTTATTTTGGAAAACTCCCCCCCACAACCGCAGAAACGTTTGTATTTTACAGTCCAACGCTCTATGAGAGTAGAACACGTGTTTGAGATACTTACACATCTGTGGACGTCCCTCTTCAGCTCATCAAAAATCTGCTGTATGGACTCCACATGAGTTTTCAGAGTGGTGTCTATGGTCACTCTGGCCACCGCAGTCGGCAGGACGGTGCTCAGGTAAAACTCTAGGATGCTGTTCATGGCTTCACAGGCAAACTGGCTCTGCAGAGAGGAAACAAGACACAACCAGCCTGGTTATTGGATGCAAGTGCAACATATTGGAAGCCACTTGTGCCAAACATCTTTTATAACTCAAAACAATATGAAAATAGATAATTACATAGCTATGATGCCATGGAGAAAGTTAATATTATCTACTTTATGCAAATGAGTGACAAAATAAAATGCTGCTTTCTGGTCATGAAGTGCAATTGATGCCTTTCTATGACTTGCAGGAAAAATAAACAACAGTTTTCCTGGTCATAAACAAGCATCAATTATGGTGCTGAATAGCATAGTAATAATAAATAATAATAATGACAAAAAGGGTCAAGCGGTTTAAAGCTCCTAGGTTAAAAGTAGCTGTCAAATTTGGCTCTAATGGCTTGCCATTGGCAGCTGCTTCTGCTGCGTAATCGTGCGCTCTGGTGCGTTTCCTCGTTAAAAACCTCTTTAGTCCTTGACGCTTGAGAACGCGCTCACCTTGAAGGCATCCTCGACGCTCTGGTCCAACAGCGCCTTGTCCAAGTCGTCGTTTGATTCCTGGGGAGACAGAAACGTGTTGAGTCGAAAAGCGCTTGCGCCTGCAGAGGCGACCAACGCGCAGCATCACGCGTCGATCTCCAGCGCACCAATGATGCTGCAGCGCACGGAAACGCTCGGTACTCACATAGAAACCTCTGATCCTCCTGTAGTCCTCCCTGAGCCTCTGCACCCTGACGGGGAACTCCTCCACGAAGCGGCAGCACTGGTCGTGGCACAGTGGGGTGCAGCATGCAGAGAAGACGGAAGACAGCAGGACCAAGACGGACAGGAGCTGAGGACTCATGCTGCTGGACAAGACGGAGACACGCTGCAGGAAATGTGGTGGACCCTCGGGGAAGTGAACACACGGACCGGCTCAGTGGATTTCCGAGTGGACAGAAAAATGCTCCTTTGGAGGAAGTGTCTTTAGAGCTGAGAAGTGCATGATTTGGGGTTCATTTCTGCTGTCATTATATAGGCAAAAGGGAGGAGACTTACCGGAAGGGTTAATGCTATAGGGGATTTTCTCCTTATTGCAGTGATGGGCTCCTCCCATGAGCTAACATCAAAGAAGACCTTTAACCGCAGGGATTTGATACGACATAATATATTGTTACATAAAAATATCCAAGAAACCCATTTTATTATTATTATTATTATTATTATATTGTATTAATTAGTATTGTAATCTCTGCATAAACTGAGATATTCCCCAATTTGATTTTAAAATGGCCTATTATTACTATTACTATTATTATTACTATTATTACTATTATTATTATTATTATTATTATTATTATTATTATTATTATTATTATTATTATTATTATTATTATTATTACACTTATTGGTGCTGCAAAAACTGTTTACAAGCACAACATTTTTGAATGGCCTGAATACAGTAGATTACAGTTAATTATTTCTGAGCTTTTTCTTCTCAGTGCCAAATGAAACCGAAGCCCCCAATATGGAAATAATATCGAGTCGTGGTTTGAGTACGATGACGCTGTGGATTCTCTCTGTGTGTCAGATATACGTAAGAAACTTGACAGAGGGTGGGGGGAGAGTGAAGATGCCGGCTCTCTGTTTTCTGTTTTTGTAATTCCACTGTCGAGGTTTACCTAGACTGATAAACCACAGAGAAGTAACTGGGTACCATCAGAAGATGACAGTCTAAGGGGTGTTTTCCCCTCAGTACTTTTTTGGAATGTCCACTTATCCTGAGGTGTCATGTGTTTGTCTGCCCGGCTCGTGATGAGCCTGAGTCTTTGCGTTAGGCAACACATGGTTTTCTCAAGACATTTGGTTAACCCCCAACACTTAAAGTTGCACCCTGAACGTTTGATGGCTGCAGAAAGTCACGCATGTCAGAACAGCCCGCAGTAAAGTCAAACATGAAAATAAAAGAGAACAAGTACATTTGTAATGTATATGCACATTGGAAGAAAAATGAGCATGTTCTTCGATTTGTACTGAGCATAATCGTCTTCTGTCTTGGTTGTAAAATTGTGGGTGAAAAGTGAGAAGATATTCACATGAAGATGCCTATTGGAACTGTGAGGCTGGGACGGAGGGTCACAGCAACCCAAAAAAGATCCAGGAGGCCCATCAAGGAATAGTTTGGACCCGGGTATATGCATGTATTGGAATGGTCAAGTCGTAACAGCATCCTTTCTGCGTTGTGCTGGTTTTGTTTCACAATTAGGCTAACACATGATTTCTTTGGAATCGCTGGTTTCTACGTTTATTTCTAATGAGAACAAACTGTGTCATAGGCTGCTCACTCCAAGTCTTATGCAAAACAAAAGTACATGACAAAACTAAAGTTAATCCCTGCTAATCGTAGGTTCACTTAAATATTCATTTCAGTTTGGATTCATATATTATAATGGTGATAAGAAAAATTAACTTAACGAATCTCCCGCAGGATAACATGTCAAACAGAGAAGGCTTAAGGGGCTCAAACAATTTAACGACAATACCATAGAAGAAGAAATAAAAAGGAGGGTCTCCCAATCTTGAAGTTACACGGTTAAAACAATGACAGAGTTTTTAAAGGTGTTTCAGTCAGGTAGAGAATACAAATAACCAAAAATGAAAGACATTTAGTGTAATTATACCAAAGAAGAAATACAACCCGGTTATATAGTCAAAGTCCAGGCCTAAATTGATTGGGAGAATTTTGTTACAAATTAACTTTTTGTAAAATTAAAATACTTTTTCACTATATATATATATATATATATATATATATATATATATATATATATATATATATATATATATATATTATATATATATATATATATATATATATATATATATATATAAAGAGTGAGTTCCATGAGTACATAAGTGCTTGGAATCTTTTTTTTTTTTTTTTTTTTTTTTATAATTTCATCCTTAGAGAAATAGTATCAAAAATAGTATTTACTTGTACCTGAATTTTTATGAAAAGTTGTTATTGATCCAAATACTGCGTCTGTTTTCACAAAGCCTTTCTGAGTGAGACAGCAGCCAAAACAGAAACTGTTCAGTTTCACGTTGTTGCGTCTGCAGTAATTTCCTTTTATCGACGGAAAACCGCCGCTACTGATAAAAGTCAAATTAAAATGTGAAAAACAATAGTTTCAGCAGATTTAAATTCAGATCAAAGCAAATGCTATTCGGATACCCCCCCAAAAAATGGACTTTTTAAATTTGTGTCAATGATTTAATTAGTCTTAATATGACATGGCAAAAAGGAACTATAAGAAAAAAAACGCTGATAAAGCTGTTCATATCGCATCGTTTCATAAAAATGGAATCTTTTCAAATATGTTCAATTTCCTTATTGCATAGAATAAGATTAGGAGTGAGATTTTATTCAATATTTTATCCAAATTCCTCCCCATCTTTTGTGTCTGTCGAGCACCTATTGCGTACAAATTCCCGCCAACGTGAGTTTTTTTGACTGGGGTGTTTTAAGAATGAATAAAAGAAGCAGCTGTTGACACACACCAAATGACCAGATGAACCAAAGTGGGCTGTGACTGCATAATTCAGTGAGTGAGCTTTTAGTCATCTACTTCACGGAAATGCCTGTCATCAAAATTTTTCATGTTGATGTGTTCGAGATAGAACTGTGTTTAATATTAGACCCCGACCGTTACGTAATGAGACACTTCTTTGGTTTCCTTGTTTCAGGCAGTTGTAAAAGTGGTTTAGTTAGATACTAGAAGGTGCCAAGCGGAATCAGCCCAATCTTATCACATCTGACACTTTGTCATCTATGCAGCATTTCTGATCAGGTCTCGTTGTTTGACCCCTTACCTTCAAAGCGGTTTCTTATGGAGTCACAGCAGTGCCAAGAATTTGTTGTCAGCACTTTTGAGAACATTACCTGAAACCAGCCACTATCACACTCAGCCCACCACTTTGTGCCTTTATCACCAGTGGCAGAAAATGTGTGAAGGCTTTACAGCAAACAGCTGACAGCTCTCTGCCTGAGGTCTCCTCAGTGAGATTCCTTTTGATCTGCAGAGCCGAGTTGCACAATGTTCTGCAGCCGTGCCTTTACATTTCCTCAGCCACCAACATTGCATTCTCTGCGCTTGTGCACATCTTTCTCCCACAGAGTCTATTTGCAAATGTCATCTTTAGAGGAAATCGATTTGTCTTTTACCTACAGAGTCACCGCATTCGTCTTTCACTTTCACACTCTTTGTCCATTGAACTGTTTCGGTGATTTGTTTATGTTGAGTGTTTGGTGGCGCAGAGCACAAGCAGGGATTGCGACTGTTGTGTAAGCGTGTGTAGTAGTTTCCCCCCCCCCCAGTTTCTGTTGCGAAATCTTCAAAGAAAAGAGAAAACTCTCAGAAATGGATTTCTGCAGGGCCATTACAGTTGGGTAACTCCCACCACTGACCGCTTGCTCGTCGACAGCCACACATTCGTGGGTGTGTCAACACGCGTTGTGACCACTTATTTTGCAATTCTGGTAGATGTGGGATCTTTCACAGTATCATACAGGACAGCATAAAAAATAGCTTTAATTAGAGTTTTATGTGTGTGAACAATCATTTGGACTTCTGATGAAATCCTTAGTCATGTACACTTCCTCTCTGTTCCATCATTATGTTTGATATGAGCTGTTGATTCATTAGTGTTAATACCGACTGCACTCGAATTTTTAATTTGGAAATCTCTCCAGCATAATCTGTTAAAACCCCTTTAGAGATCTTATAATATTTGCAGATATTTATTACAAAATTAACGCTGTGTGAAACTAAATCAACACTCTGCTGACTAAGAATATGTGGAATAGGAAGATGAAACTTTGAAAATTTCCTATGACCATAACTTTCACTTGACCCCGGCGCAATCAGTGGTGCGCTTTTAAATTACTGTACCCGGTTCCGATTCTTTTGTTGCTTAATGCAAGTCAAATACTTTGCTGAGTTTTCTATGCTAATTTTAGAGTTGGTACACTTCAGTTCAATGCGTAAGCAAATTCATGCACAGGGCTAACTGCACAAAACGGTGTTAACCGCAGTTAAGTAAGCACTGTTTGTTGTGACAGCTCAAATTTTCCCAAGGTTTTTAAACACAGGAGTTCTGAATCGGTGAAAGTAAAAAAAAAAGCACAGTTTCTAAATGCAAATCAAACAATGAGTCACACATTTTTGGGGGGTTTATATTTTAGCAGTGCAATAATTGATCCCCACTGACAGCACTTGTTGCAAAGGGAAGGTCAAGTTTGGCAAAAACGACACAAATGTGAGGCCTAATGTTTGCCTCTTAGGTGATGTGGTTAGAGAGTTGCAGCTTTTTGTTTACAGTCTCTGCTTCTGCACAACGCTCTCAGTTTGCTTACGAATATTTTGACAGTTCAAGACACTGCATATATTCGGTTTGCTTTAGTACTATGGAAATCATTTTGACACTAAGGCAGAAGCTAAACATCCACAGTCTACCTCATCTGCTCTCTTGAGGTCCAGCCAATCAGTGCCAAGGAAAGTGAGTGACGCTCCTAGATTGCTTTGCAAGCAGCGACTTATAATGTGTGAAGCAGCATTGCACTGCAAAAACACAAAGTCTTGCAAAGTATTTTTGATCTGGTTTCTGGTGTAAATATCTGAGAACATTTGAAATAAGTCAAAACTAACTTGGAAGTAATTTTTCAGCACAAAACGGGAGTTCAAGTCTATAATTCCTTAATATTGATGAAAAAAAAAACTAGTTATAAGTTAAATAATCTGGCAGTGGAAAAAGACATTATGCCTGTATTATGACTTATAATATAGACTAAAAGTACCTGGCAAGACTTCGTGTGTTAGCAGTATGAACCAATTTCAGCCTCTCAAGCTGCTGCTTCTTTATTTCAGACGAACTCCACAGAACATGTGAGGTGAATTCTCTGCATGTATTTTGAACCACAGAACAATCTGCAGACAAGTGAATCTGCAAAAACTTAGCCATGAATAGGTGGGGGCCACTTTCAGTATGAATACTCTGTGCAGAAAGTACTCCTGGATAAAGAATTTTGTATTTGGTTGTGTCTCTTTCCTGCACAGTCATTCAAATTTCTTGCTCCCAGTATCTTTGTCTGTCTCTGTATTCGGTTTCTTCCTGACCCACTCCACTGATAAGAGGCTAATGTTACCTTTGTGCACTCTTTATCCTAGAAAGTAGTGCCTTTTTTTCTTCATATCTTCACATTTTTCTCTAAAATTGTTTTAAGTTTTTGATGGAGTTCCTGTTCATTTTTATTCTGTGGATAGTAGTTTAATCATAGAACAAAAGCACATGCTCTTTTTTCCACCTGCCCACTTCTTGTCTTAATAAACATCTAAAATGATGCCTAAATTCCTTTGCCCTGCTCGCAGTGCTCTCTTTCTTGCCTAATTTGGAAATAATTTGCCTCACATGTCAAGCTACGTGTCAGCCTTTTAGAGACACTTTTTCTTTTGTTCAGGTTTCCTGTTTTGTATCTACTGAGCAAGCATTCTTCTGTTGGAAACTAGAGAAGCAGCCAAATGTTGTATGACAGACAAATGACGGCTATGTTTTCTGACACACTTTATGAAGCATCTGAAACTTAGAATTGCACATCAAGAATAAGTGATTTCTTTAAAGTGAAAGAAGTCGTTTTTCATTTAACCTTAAGCATGCCTGACCTAGTTATCCAAGACTCGGAAACGTATCACCCTTCAAAGACTATTTTATTCGGGTTGCATAAAGTGTTAGAAGAGGAGCAAAACTGAAACTCAAAGTAAATCAGAATTCAAAACACCTGCGGCTGCTGACGTGAACTTGAAGTTCAAGTAGCCCTGGCTGTTGGATATTCACTATAAATTGAAATCATCAGATTCAAGAGACTGAAGAAAACGATCATTTCAGGTAAAATACAGCAACTGCTACAGATCATCATGTTCTTGCCCTCGTCTTGACAAAGTGCGAAACGGGACTTCGAGTTCAGACCAACCTCAGATGCACGACGTCCATCACAAATCAAAGATTTAGAGGCAAAAAGATAATAGCTTTTTTCACAACATATGTTCACTTTACAACTCTATAGTTCTGAAAGAAAATGTTAATTACATTAATTGGTCTTTGTGGAATCACAAGACGATCACATTGCGCTATGTTTTCAAGGTCCTTCGGAACAATGCGATGAAATTCTTTGAAATTTTGAAGACTTGGACAATGTCAGTCTTTCAACCACTGATTATCTCAAAATGCTGCAGAACGTGAAATGAAGAAACTGCACAGTTTGACATTTGACGGCAGAGTTAAAGACCAAAGATCTCAGTCCAGGTCAGTTTTCAACTCTGCAGCCAACTCTACTGTTTCACTGACATGTGTTTCTGCAGAGGGAAAGTTTCTTCTGGGTTTATTTAGAAACGACCACCTGAATGTATTTATATGGATGAATTTGGGTTCAGTCTGACCAACAAGAGAGGCAGGAAACTGGTTTGTTGTTGTTGCCATTCCTGGTAATGTAACAGCTTTGATTTCCTGAAGGATGGCTGGCGGTCTATACTCAGTTTTCATCATCTGTTGCTCAGCAGAGCAGAAGACACGTTTTGTAGATGCGTTTATTGGTTTGACACATTTTTCCCCCTCACACGTTTGGAAAGTCGTTGACACAGAGGTCAATCAAGCAGTCCTAACTCCATTATTTCAGCCATGGTAATACTGAGTGGTGCCAATAATTTAAGTTGACAGAAAGTGAAATGAGCCAGAAACACCCGAGTTAAACTAGGAATGAAAAATAAATAAAGGCGGAAATGAGCAAAGGTTCAAAAACCAGCCGGTTAAAATGTACAATACATTCACAAAATAAGTAGAATAAAAATGCAGTGGCCTGTGCCTACATCTTAAAACCAGCCGTCGAGAAGTCTGTAGGATAAAAAGATTAACACCAGACCTGGAGACTTGGCTCCACGTCTCCCGGATCAGACGTGCGTCTCGGCCTCTGCTCATTTTGCCGCCTGCTGCTCTTCTTTCCTTCTTTCCCTGCTCTGACGATCTGCTCTTCTCGTTTCTCGATTCCTGGCTTTCAAGCCACTCCTGTGGTATCCCTCAGTGGGCGTGTCATGGGTGGCAATTCCAGCCTCATGCACAAAAGCTCCAAAATGAATCAGGAAGTAGCAAAGTGCAACACAACAACCCCAAATGAATGCAAGATTAAAATGCTACCAAATTAAGTTATTCCAAAATATCACAACAATGCTCAATATCCCAAAATAAACAAAGCAAATGAATAAATTTTAAAAAGCCACGTTGCCACCGTAACCACAAATCATATTTGTTGCTAACTATTAGAAAGTGTCTAGATTAGTACGAGTCCATTGAAGCACATGATTCACATTCCTTACCACAGGGATCAGAAATTTTATTATGTTATTTTTTAAATTGCCAAAACTGAAATACTGTGAATAATATAGAAAAAACTTTAAACATAAAGTGAAAATCTATGAGAATAAGAAATATAGAAAATCAAAACGAAGTGATTTTTGTTTGGTTAAAACTGCTTGGAAGACATCTGTGTTGACTGCTTCGCATCGTTTCATCGGATGGAACAAAGTGAGTCTAACAGTGTCGTCCAGGTCGGAGTTGTTCAGAACCATTCATGTACGTTCATGTATGTTTTCCTTCATCCATTTCTCTTTCCCAACAGATGAGTTATTGTCTTTATGGCGGAGGAAAGTTTGTGACCAGTAAATCTCTTGCAGGCCTTAGAGTTGGGCTGTGGTGTGAATACCTGGTGTGGATTTGGCATGTGGTGTTTGCTGTAGAGAAAATACTTTGTAAGTACAGAAAATATGAACAATATTCTGTTTCTGCCAAATGCTGGGGGTGTTTGAGCCTGGCGATTGCCTTCCTGTGCAACTGCACGCAAAAAAAAATATTCTCTCTTACAGCAAAATCTGGGTTTTCTACCTTCACTTGAATTCCCTCTGGCAGAATTTCAATAAGGTCAATCAGTGAACAGAAGAAGGAGTTGTGAATAAAGACGTCTCTCTTTAGAACTGTGGTCTCCCTGTAGTTTTAGGATTGGCAGTGGAGGAAGTGAAAGCGGCGGTTCTGGCCACACTTCCAAAATTATTGAGCATTAAAAGCGATTTCCGGTAAGCTTCATAGCTTTGAATTAACGCATTGTGTACATCATCATTCGTGAGTTGGTCAAATTTAAAACCTGAACGGAGTCCACGCCTCTAGGGAGCAATCGTTTCTCAATAGCCGAGAGCCCAGACCCTCTGGACGAAGCAAAGCGTGGAACGAAGGGCTCTTTCATCAAAGACTAGAGTTGTTTGGGTTGTTTTGGTTTTTCTTTTTGTTGTTTTTTAAACTATATATTTATTATTCACCAACAGGTGTATATACAACAAGGATTATAAAGTGATAAGAAGCAAAAAGGAGTATTGACCCACAAAAGAATTATCCATATAATAGAAGAAATAACGGTAATAGAAATAAAGAAAACAACAAAAAAAGACAAAAAAAGGAAGTAGACATGAAAAATGATGCATTCAAAACAAAAACAAAACACAGAACACAGTTAATTCACAACACAAATGAAGTTGATTAACATGTAAATCGGGATATGCTTTCTTCTTCTAATGTTGGCAGTTCTTTTCTAACTTCAATTATTTTTGTGTTCACTAATTAATTAATCTAGCATCACAGATATTTTGGGAAAAAGTGGAGAAGGGAGGGGGGACAAAAAGGAAAGCAAACAAAAACAAAACAAATAAATAAGTATATGCCAGAACAAAGACTAAATAAATAAAGGATAAGGATGAAACGCTCTGGGTTTGTCCGGTTGGAATTTAATTATATCTGTGATCAGCCTTTGTTTCTATTTGATCTATAGATCAGTATTATCTGGTTTACTCCCTGTGTTTAGTCATTCTTTGTTCCTTTGGTTATGTTTTGCCGATTTAGTTTCTTTGTCTTGTTCTCCCGTTGCTCTGTGTTCCCGTCTGTCTGTTTCTGTCGCTTTGCTCGTTTGCGTCACAGAATGTCTTGCATTTATCTGCTCACAGCTTCAGACAGGAATCAATATGCTTTCACGAATCATCAGGTTTCTCGTAATTTATGCATGTGACAGTTTTGAACTTGAACAGCTGAAACCAATCTCCTTCCACAGCAACAGGAGTTTACATTTGTTTGTTGTTTTCAGCCATTGCTCATTTTTTCTCACAACATGTCATCCTTTTGGTTTGCCCGAAACATTTAGTTGTTTTGTTTACTATTGCGTTCTTGTTTCAGACCAAAACGTTTCTCAATAATATTCAAAAGACATACCAGAAACGTATCCAGTAATGTTCTTTTTCATAGTAAAGTGACAGAATAAGGTTCAAAAAGAGAGATAGTTCACCGCTGGTGTTCCTGTTTGAGTAAAGAGAGGTGTTGCATCAAAACGTGCATCTATCTTTGTGTGGTCTTTCTTGACTGTCAGAGTGATTTTCCTGCATATTTTGGGAATCTATCCGATGACTCAATGATGAATGATGAACTCAAAATCTGTGTATGCTGCATCAGGATAGAATTCATAATGCTTCACTTTTTCCACATTTTATTACAGCCTCATTCAGAATAATTTAAAGTGATTTTCTTTCTCCAAACCCTTCCACAGAAATGCCCCCGAATGACCATAGGGAAAATATGTTCTACAAATTTATTAGAAATAGAAAACCAAGAAATCACATCTACATAAGTATTTACATCAGTATTACGGCATCAAGTCGTTTTGAGTTTGACGCAACAAGCTTAGCTCACACAAGCTGTATAAACATTTTAAGGTGAAATTTTGATCACTAACAAAGTATTAAGCAAAGTTTGTGTATAGTTCTCAAAATATCGTTCCTCCTGCTTTTCTGTTTTTAAGACATTTGCAAAACACTCAACATTTTTTCTAAATTGAGCATTTTCTGTGTCAAATTTTTAGAAAAGAGATCAACTTTATTGTAATTGATAGACTTCATTTAATTTTCAGACAGTGTTGGAGAGCTTTGCGATGCCTCGTGGTGAAAAGGTCCTGGGTTCAGACAGCCTGTGTTTGTGGTTCCCTCTGGGTACTCCAGCTTCCTCTCCTCCTCCAGCTTCCTCTCTCTTGTTTCATCCAAAAATACAACTGTTAGGTTATTTTTGGCCTGTAAATTGTGAGCGTGAGCATTTGTCGCTCATGGATGGATCCCGCTTTTCGCCCGGTGACCACTGGGGAACGGCTCCAGCCCACTGTGAATCTGCAAATATACGTGGATTCAATTGATAAAAATATGATCGACAATCACATTATACCTGATCTCAGGATAAAAGTATAAATGTATGCCACCTTGGAATAATTTAGTGTAGGTGTTGTCCTGTTCATGTTCTTTTGAACACTCTGTGCCTCAACAAAAAAACATTAAGAAACCTTCAAAACACAAAATCAAAGTTTCACAATTCACCACTTCCTGGTTTCTGCTTAAGTAAAAACTGAACAGCCAGTTCCGATCACTTTCCAGCCAAAAGTGAACATTATGTCTTAAGATGGAGTGTATGAAGAAGACACGTATGTGCATGAAAGCAGGAATAAGTGCATCTTCGTCGTAGCAGCGAAAAATGTGGAAAATCCGACCTCTGATGCCGATACTTTGACTGCTTCGTCAAAGATTTCTATTTTAGCAAATTATTATTTTTGTATTATTATATTTGGTCATACAATTATCAGCACCCCTGATAATTGTTTTTATAAAGTTGCTTTATAAATGTTCACAAGTTTCTGTCGAGATTCTCCACATTCCCAGGAACGCCGCCCTGCTCTCTTGGGCTCGCAACACAAGTTTTCTGCAGGATTTAAGTCTGCAGACTGAGAATATCATAGAAGAAGAGATTTTGTGTTGATTTGACAATAAGAAGATGTTTGGAATATTTTGCCAGGTGAAATAAAGGATGAACTAATTATCACCGGTTTTCTCAGAACTATGTTTTTCTCTCACTTTGTGGGGAGTGTTTTAACAATTTTCGTCATTGCCCAAACTAGGTGGGTGTTATTCTTTTGACAAGTCTACAGTATTAGTCATTATGCAGTACTAACATGCATAGTTAATCACATCTATCACGGAAAGATAAGCAGATTTCCCTCTAAAACATGAAACCAAACAGGTTTCTTAACGTCATGCAATCATACATGCCGTGTTAATTTACCCACAAGGAGGCTCTTTAGGTTTTATTGGAATGCTAAGTGACTCATAATGTAATCACAAGCTAAACTAAATGTGTAATAATCTGCTCAAGTAAAATAAAAATTATCAAATCTAATGTGTAATCTAAGAGAAACTTGGTTTTCTGCTTTTGCAATAGTGTGACATGCAAATTCAAGGTGGCAACTTTAAACATGAACCGAAATTAAAAAACTAAAAATGGAATCTGATTTACAGTAACAAAAATAAATCTTCTGAATAAGGAAACTTTAAAAATTGAGACTTTCATTTAAGCATAATTACCTCACACTGAAGAACAACACCTTTGTCTAGTTTCTACATCTGTTTCTGATCTTTATATTTGGCATATAAGGATTAATTGCTCTCCAGTACAACACTTGTTGAATCTACCAGATGAAAGCAGCTTTAGAAACTATTTTTGTTTTTTTTAGTTTTATGGCTTCTTGTCTTGTTACTATTTAAAATAACTTCCTCGCCTAGAACAGACACAACCAATGACGCTGTCATATTGGTTTCCATTAGATGACATCACTGTCTGGAAGGTTTTTTGCTGTTTTTATGATTATTACATTTACTTGGCATCTTTCAATAATTAAAAAACTCCTTAGCAACTTAATTAAAAAAGGAGGTAATGCTGCTGAGGACAGAGACACACATTAACCCCAAGTGATAATCAGATAATCAGGCCTTCCTGCATTCAGTCGTATGCGTGTGTTGTTGATTTTAACGTGTTAAACTTAAAGAGAATTTATTAGAGAATAATTTCCAACATAATTACAAATAAA